AAAGATTATGGCTGTAGTTCAAAGACATCAAGTGTAGGTTAAGATAAAGGAAGTCTAAAATAACAGCGCTAGAAACGTCATATGGAACCATAATTTACTAAGCACCTATTACAGAAACCAGATGTTGTTAGTCTCTTTATATATGGTACTCACTTAATAAAGCCGTTGTCCTAAAAAGATGACATTATTTAGAAGAAATTAAAAGGAGCTAAACAATGAGAAAATTCTTTCCCTTAGCAGAGTTTAAATATGGCTTTCCACATTAGAGGGAATGCTCCAACCTAAAGATGACAAGAATGAATTAAGATTTTGTCAATTCATTCACACAAAAAATTTTTTCAGATTAGTTCAGCTAGACTGTGAAAAGATGTATGGGTTAAAAAAAGAAAATTCAAGTTGTCACAAAAATGTATTTCCAATTTCAAATCTTTTTAAGTTGAAAATTACATAAACTGTATTTTAAGTCTGATGCATAAATATCCCTCTGTAGCTACTGTTAGGTCATAGAGCTTACTGATAAAATAGTGCTATTAAAGGTATTGCAAAACTGATAAAATAAAACATTACTAGATGCAGTAATCAGTCCTTTAACTTTTTATTTTAAACAAACTCTAATCCAACCCAAAGTCACCACAGATCAATGAGAAATACACAGGACTGTAATTCAGGCCCATGCAAAAAACTGGGTCTGAAATGACTTAACCCAAAGCTGTCTGACCATCTTTTTTTTAATTTTTTTTTTTTTTGAGACAGAGTCTCACTCTGTTGCCCAGGCTAGAGTGAGTGCCGTGGCGTCAGCCTAGCTCACAGCAACCTCAAACTCCTGGGCTCAAGCGATCCTCCTGCCTCAGCCTCCTGAGTAGCTGGGACTACAGGCATGCGCCACCATGCCCGGCTAATTTTTTCTATATATGTATTAGTTGGCCAATTAATTTCTTCTTATTTATAGTAGAGACGGGGGTCTCACTTTTGCTCAGGCTGGTTTCGAACTCCTGACATCGAGCAATCCGCCTACCTCGGCCTCCCAGAGTGCTAGGATTACAGGCGTGAGCCACCGTGCCCAGCCCGACCATCTTTTAAAAGCATTTTCAGGAGACACTATTTGACGCTAACCCTGCAACCGCCACCCCCAAAGTCCTTTTTTTTTTTTTTTTTTAAGGAGAATGGAGTCGGAGACAGCCAACTGTGGTCCATTCGTTAGGTTCTAGGGAACTGACTCAGGCCAACCGGGTTCTCCAACTCCAGGTAGACACCGAGATTCCAAAATGGGAATTCGTTCCTCAGTGCTGCCAAGGCTCAGCCATCCCCTTTGCTTTTTAAAGGACAAACGCTCTCACCCTTCTCGTGCATAACTTGGCTGCTGGCTGCGCGCAGGCAGTGCCTGGGAACCCCGGGCTCCCCGGCCGCGCCCGCCCACCCACCAGCCGGCTCCTGTCACCCGAGACCCACGAGCCCTGCCCCCGGCCCTGCGGGCTCCCGAGCCCCAGTCCGCAAAGTTTCCGCGGCCGCTCACTCCGGGTACCAGCGAGGGGGCCGCTTGGAGGCTGCGGGCGCCGGGGTTACGCGGGCGGAGACCCGTTATGCGCCGGTTACGGAGACCGGCTGAGAAGGCAGGAGCAGCCGGGCCGCGCCGCGTGCAGCCGGAGCCCGGGGTCGCGGGCGGACTGGGGTGCGGGGTTGGGGTGCGGGAGGGCCCCGCCCGCGCTCACCGTCGATGTTCTCCCGGTCGCTGATGTGCTGCAGGTTGCAGCCGTGTCCTCGCGGCTCAGGTCCGTGTCGGGCCGGTAGGACTCCAGCCGGGAGTGGGCATTCCTCCGGAGCTTGGGCTGGACGACACGCAGCACGAGGTAGTGTTCCCCATCTTCGGCGGCCCCCGACTCCGGCTGCTCTCGCCTTCCTCCCGTGCCCGGGCGCGGCCGCGGCGGGCGGGGGCGCGGCGGCGGGGCGTGGAGGGAGGCCCGCCCGCCGCCGCCCGGGATGGGCGGAAGCCGCGGCCGGCCGCCGGTCAGCAGCGGCGGCGGCGGCGGGCCTCGCCATGGGCGCGGCGCGGCGGCGACGAGCGGGCGGGCGGCCGGCTCCCCTCGGCCTCCGCGCGCGACCGCCCGGCCCAGCGGGCCGTCCGCGGCGGACGAGCGCTCGGGTCGGGCGACTGCGGCCGCCGCGCCTACCTCAGCCGCCGCGGCCATGGCGGGCGGCGCCGCGCAGGCCGCCTCCCCGCGCTTCCCGGTCGCTCGGCGCCCGTCCCCGGCGCGGCGGCGCTCTCCGTAAGCGGTTCCGGTTCAAGCGGGGACACGCGTGTGGGCGCCCGGCGGCCGGCGGAGAGGGCGAGCGGCGGCGGCGTGGGCGCGGCCGGGGCCGGCGAGGCGCGGCGCGGCCGGAGATGCTCGCACGCCCGCCCCCGCCGTCGGCCGCCGCCCTCGCCGCAACCCCCGCCCCGCCCGCCCCGTCGCCGCCCTTCCCTCTGCCCTGGAAGCAGATCGGCGGCCGAGAGGAGGTCCCGGCGGCGCCGGCCCGCGCGACTGTGGGGTCGCTCCCGGGGGCCGCGCCTGTCGCGGCGGGGTCGCGGGCTCGCCGCCGGGAGCCCGCCGACTCGCTGCCTCCCTCCCGGTCTCCGCCTCCTCCGCCTCCCGGGCGGCCGAGGACGGGGCCTAGCGCCGGGCCGCGGAGGGGTGAGGGCCGCGGGCTGGGGACACCGACGCGGCCCGGTGCGCTGAGGCTGCGCCCGCCTCTCCGGGACGGGCTGGCTTTTCTATTTTTATTTTTATTTTTAAGCCTTTAGAAGAAGCCGTGCCTTAACTTGGGAGTTTTCTTCTATTTTGAGGTGACCTTGTTTTAAGCCCTGAAATAAATCTTGGGGGGGGGACCCAGGGCTATTTTAATGTGGAAGTAGCTGCAGTGTGTTTTGAGATCCTTGGAGGTGAACGTGAGGTGGAGAGAAGTAAGTTAACGCATCACCTCTCCTTGTTTTGCTTTTAAAAGGATCTCGGGTTTTGTCGCGTTGGGAGCAGGATTTGAACTGAGGCCGGTGGACTAAGATCGAGGTACATTAGGCTGTCCGGAAAGTATCCAGACATTATTAATATCACTTTTTCATATTATTAGTACATGGTTGGGTACTTTCCGGACAGCCCTCGAGTGAAAGTGCCTGGCGCAGGGGAGACGTCCGACATTTGTTGGTTCCTGTCCCCACTCAGTGTCCCCAGTGCCAACCGTCCCCACTGGAAAGATCGCTGCTTCTTGCCTTTGTTAGGGGGTAAAATACAAGGTGGCAGAAACAACCTTCCTAACCCTTTTTTCCAGTCTATGAAGGAGTCCTGAGGAGAAGCTCCAGGGGGGAAATATTTTTTGAACAGTAAAAAATAAAAATAAAATCTGGTACAACCCTCTTAATTTCATAGATGAGGGAACTGAGGCCCAGAGACACGAAATGCCTTGATTTGCCCAGGTCTCAGTGCTAATTAATGACAGATCCAGGTTCTAAAAGAAACAGGAGTAAGGGCATTGGTATTTACCTAGCATCAGCGATGTGTGGACATCTTGTCAAAGGCTTTATAAACATTTTGTGTGATTCTCTACATCTAGTCGTTTTTTTAACCTGTGCTGTCCCTTATATCTCACAGTAATGTTTACACGTTTATTGGTCGTATAAAGAAGCTCCAGACTCTGAACTGTCTTAGTGCCATTTGTTAGGATAAGGGCAGGTGTCCCTAGAAAATAAATGGCTGCAAAGGGATGGCGCTGACCAGATGAGAGAGGAAACGTAAAAGGGGAGTTCTAGAGAATTGCAGCCCCAGAGAGAGTGGGTAGAAAGCTACAAGACAAAATAATGCTGTTTATTAAGGCTGTGTTGACCTTCTTGCTTCCCAGGAAGGCTTGATCGGGCATACCTGCGAGTCAGTGAAGTGTACATTCAGATTTTCTGGGCTCTAGCGTGTGGGTCAGATGGCTGAACACTAGGAGAGGGGGGTCTGCTATTGTCTGTTCTGATTGCTGCTGTGTAATTTGGGCATCCAGTGGAAGCACCCAATCGTTGAACCATATGTGTATGCATGTGCACTCAGGTACGTTAGTAATTTTTAATATTTTAATTTTTTTTTGAGACAGAGTTTCGCTTTGTTGCCCAAGCTACAGTGAGTGCCATGGCATCAGCCTAGCTCACAGCAACCCTCCAACTCCTAGGCTCAAGCTATCCTGCTGCCTCAGCCTCCGAGTAGCTGGACTACAGGCATGCGCCACCATGCACGGCTAATTTTTTCTATATATATTAGTTGGCCAATTAATTTCTTTCTATTTATAGTAGAGATGGGTCTTGCTCTTGCTCAGGTTGGTTTCGAACTCCTGACCTCGAGCAATCCACCCACCTCGGCCTCCCAAGAGCTAGGATTACAGGCGTGAGCACCATGCCTGGCCACATTTTTATTTAATCATAAAATTTATAATATTTATATCATATTATGGTTTGAAGGCCTTAAGAGGAGAGAGAGAGACCAAGTGGCATTTAGGTGACCACGTGGCTGGCCTCGCATTCCCCATCCAGGCAGGTCACTGGGCAGTGTTAACGAGGAAGGGCAGCTGGAACTGGGGGAAGACATGACTAGGGGTCCAGGTAGCCACACGCCCTTACCAAAGGGTGGTATAGCCATTGGTCTGCGGGGATTTTTCTGTCCCTCTGTCACCACCATCCCACCCCCCTTCTGTGACATTCTCATGTATTCTTAGGAATGCACCCATTTGCACTTATTCAGGATGTGACTTTGGTCAACAAGGCTGGAGGGAAAGAAAGTTGCTAAAGCTTGCAGTGATTTACCTGTGTGCCAGCCCCCCCAATACACACACACACACACACATCCTCCAGGCAGAAATGCCCCACCTGACACAGTGACACCTAGGAAAATTACAGAATAATAACCAACTCCGAGCAGAGGCAGTGTGATGCCAAAGTGATGACAACAGAAGGCGTCGTCTGTTGCACACCTCCTAGATGCCACGCACTGTACTAGGTATTTTTTACATCCAAGTCTATGCTGTTATCCCCCTTTTTGTAAATAAAGACACTTTAACTCTTAAGAAAACCTACCCAAGGTCAAAATACTGAGACATGGCCTAACAGGATTGAACCTGGCTCTCATTCCAAAGTCCAAGAGGTTCCCTCTCAGCTGCATCCACCCTGGCTCCAGGACTTTGTGAATGGAAAAGAGTCTAGTGCTGCTTCTCTCCTTTGCTCTTTTCTGTTCTCTGAAGGAAGCTGGGAGCTGCCTGCTTCGGCCTAGTTCTAGACTTTTAAGAAGAGTGATAAAGGGGTAAAGGAGCCTTGTTATATCTGTGGGCTTAGCCCTCCTGCCCAGAGTAAGAAGACAGCCACGCTTGTGCATGTGGTGACAGTATCTCCAGCACCGTATCACTTGGGAATCTAACGCAGGACCAGTTCCCAGTAGGTATGGATCTAGCCCAGAATGGGAGTCTGGAAGGGAGAGGTGAGCACTGGGCACTATAACCAGGGCTTGTCTCCAAAACATTTAGCCTTCTTAAAAACCATCACCCGGCCAGGGGCGAGGTGGCTCACACGCCTGTAATCCTAGCACTCTGGAGGCCGAGGTGGGCGGATTGCTCGAGGTCAGGAGTTCGAAACCAGCCTGAGCAAGAGCGAGACCCCATCTCTACTATAAATAGAAAGAAATTAATTGGCCAACTAATATATATACAAAAAATTAGCCGGGCATGGTGGCGCATGCCTGTAGTCCCAGCTACTCGGGAGGCTGAGGCAGCAGGATTGCTTGAGCCCAGGAGTTTGAGGTTGCTGTGAGCTAGGCTGATGCCACAGCACTCACTCTAGCTGGGCAACAAAGTGAGACCTCCTGTCTTCAAAAAAAAAAAAAAAAAACATCACCCTGGATCCACTCATATATATCCACCCTGCTCGGAGTCTCGCTCTGTTTCCCTACATTTTTTCCGCAGAAACTGGTCTCACTGTGTTGCCCAAGCTGGTCTCAACTCAACCTTCTGGCCTCAAGCGATCCTCCCGGCTTAGCCTCCCAAAGCGCTGGAATTACAGGAATGAGCCACTGCACCAGGCCCCATCCTGCTCTTTTAGCAGAAAGAATCATTCAGGAATTATTTTCCCTCATTGTTCTCCATAATCACTATTCAAGTATTTGGTCATCGTAAAGAGGTAAATATGGACCTTGGGTGAACTAGCTTAAGTCAGGGCTCTTCACATTTTTTAACAGTAGTAGTTTTTTTTTTTTAAACCTAACAAAATTTACTGGGGAACCACAACATTTAAAGCATAAGCAATATTAGTGTGAACTTGGATGATTTGAAGATCTACTTACGAAAACAAATCAGCAAGAATAAGCTACCGTAACTGAATCAGGTGGAGCATAATTGCAGTCTTACATCAGCCACACTCACATCTGTGAAATAGGAATCAATCATTTGCACAACTCCTGAATCAGCTCCTGGAACACAGAAAACACTGAGCCAGGTTAAGCCCAGGCCCTGGACCTTTGGTCAGAAGAAGGATAATTTGTAGCTTCTCAGAAAAATAACCTACTCAGGGTATAGCTGCCACTTCACCCGGTAGCCAGTTTCCCGTGTCAGCTACTCAAACATTTCTAGGGCAGTCATGAAATAACTGAGACCGGTTATGCCACCGTTGCTCTTCCTGTCACCAAGCTCCTCTCCAAAGAAGGTCTCCGTTTACTCCTCGGTGGTAAGCAGTCCGCAGGGTAACCTGCTACACAGCAAGTATTTACTTTGACAGCTACTTGACCTTGACCAATGCAAGTGATTCATTTATTGATAACATGTTTCTTGAGAGTGTACGGAGTGCCAGGCACCTTGGGGCTACAAAAGTAGATAAGATACAGTTCCCACCCTTGGGAAACTCAGAGTCCAGTAAAGTAAACAGTCACAAAAGAACAAGTTTAGAACATGCCGAGCCACTCAGTGGCAAAATCTGAAGAATGCCAAGCCTGTCGCCTAAAATACCTGCATTTACCGCCTGTGGATAGACCTAAAATTCCACCATGCGAGATTTATTCCCGTGAAATAAAGAATCATACCCAGAGATTCTTTTGTCAGAATGAAAACTCCCACAAGAAAATAAGGATGGCTAATTGATCTAAACAGTAGTGCCAAGTCTTCTGGACCAGTAGTGCCAAGTCTTCTTAACATTGTGTTAAGAAGGATTCTGAGGTCATGTTCCAGCTCAGCAGGGAAGAGTGCTGGCATAGGGGGGGTAAGGGAGATGGCACTTGTGCCACATATTTAAAAATGTAAGATTTTTGTTTATGGAATACATGAAAAAGCAGGGGACACCCATAGTCGCTGGGTATCTGGAAAAGGACATTTGTAAACTGGTTTATCTTCCTCACCATTGAGAATCCACCATCTGTCCCAAGACTAAATGGCCTTAAGAAGCCTGACGTCTCTCTTGTCAAATTTTTTTTTTTTTTTTTGAGACAGGGTCTCTGTTGCCCGGGCTAGAGTGCCATGTCACCATCATAGCTCACTGAAAAGTCAAACTCCTAGGCTCAAACAACCCTCCTGCCCTATTCTCCCAAGTAGGTGGGATTGCAGGCATACAACACCACATCTAGCTAATTTTTTAATTTTGTGTAGAGACAGTGTCTCTCTGTGTTGCTCAGGCTGGACGCGAACTCCTGGCCTCAAGAGACCTTCCTCCCTCAGCCTCCCAGAGTGCTACTGTAAGGCTGGTGGCGGCCCCCTCCCTTCCCTGGATCAAAAAGAAAAGACTCATGAGACCAGACCCACCAAGGACAAAACTGCCAGGCCCCGCTGAGAGGATCCACACCCAGATGTCCACCTAGATAAGAATGTTTTGGCTCCTGGATTCCACAAATACCTCCAGTCCCTCCTAAAATCCCCAGCTCTTCCTGCCAAAAGTCCCTAGCCAGGCCCAAAGGATATAAAAGGCCTCAGCCCCTTCAAACTGCAGCAACTTCTGGGGCCCCTCGCTCTTGGGGCCCCAGAACCTCGTCCACGAGTGTATAATAAAGCCACGTGGTTTGGCCCCCCACTCTTTCTCTTTCTGTGTCTCTTTTCTTTTTGCCACCGCCGAAAAACCTTACAGCTACCATTACAGGCGTGAGCCACCTCACACAGCGCAAACTCTACCTTCTTTAACCTTCCATGTACACCAAGAATAGAAACAGAATATGTATATGTGATCGCTGACAACAAGGATGTACTCGGATAAGTGAAAGTCCAGCATCGAGCAGGGTCAAGTGTCAGAGTGGGAAAAGCTGCTATTTCCTTACCCAAAGCCTGTTCTCCTGTCTCCCGTAGTTACAAGGCCTACTGTTTTGTGAGGAACAGCAACATGCCCAGCTCAAAGATGACAGCTGGCCACCGGCTAAGTCTGGCCCGTGAGACATGAGTGGAAGCTTCCAGGAAAGCTCTCTAAAACACCTTTGTCTTTTCTGCTTCTTGGAATATGAACGCGATGGCTGGAATTCTAGCAGCCACTTTTGCACACCAGATGACCTTGAAGATGGAAGCCATGAACTGAGATAATGTCCCTGTAAGCTTCTTTCATATGAGAGAAATAAACCATGTTGTATTAACCACCATAATTTTGAATTCCCAAGTTATAGGCAGCCAAACCTAATCCTGACCTGGCCAGGATTTGATATTCTTTGGTAAGAGTTTTATGTATTCGTGTTGACAGTTTTCACTGATTGGCCTCCAGGTAACAGGGACTCTGACAGAGAACTAGGGGACAGTCATATGTACTGGGTTCCCTGTAGACGGTTCTAGAATGGACAGGAAGGATGCAGCAGGCAGGCTCTGGAGCCCAGGTAACATTTAGGTAGCAAAAGGAAATTGCTCAACCAGGCGCAGTGGCTCACGCCTGTAATCCTAGCACTCTGGGAGCCTGAGGCAGGAGGATTGCTCAAGGTCAGGAGTTCGAGACCAGCCTGAGCAAGAGCAAGACCCCGTGTCTACTAAGAATCTCACGCCTGTAATCCTAGCACTCTGGGAGCCTGAGGCAGGAGGATTGCTCAAGGTCAGGAGTTCGAAAATACATGCCAGGCATGGTAGTGCATGCCTGTAGTCCCAGCTACTCAGGAGGCTGATGCAGGAGGATCGCTTGAGCCCAGGAGTTTGAGGTTGCTGCAAGCTACACAAACGCCATGGCACTCTAGCCAGGGCAACAGAGTGAGACTGTCTCAAAAAAAAAGAAAAAAGGAAATTGCTCATCAAAAGGCAGACTAGTCCCCGTGGAAGTTAAAAGAATTGTCTGATGACGACTTTGACACAGGAATCCTTCAGTCTTCCCAGAACTGCAGCCAAGGGCTCCTGGGAGCAGGAAACTCCATGATACAGCCTGGTGTGTAATATGCTAACCATCTACCTGGCCTGGGAAATCGGTTCCTTCCTGAGCTTTCCTTGTGACTATCCGGAAATAGGATGGGAAGGTGGCTCCTGCCACCTCACACCCTCCCAAACACAGGCGATAAGTCTATCTAGTCCAAGCTGGCTGGTGACGGGAAGGGACTTAATTGGACACCATGCCAGGCACCTTCACATACCTCGATCTTAGGTCACTGGCCTCAGTTCAGACCCTGTCCCCAGCACGACCCGAACCCGACAGTATGTTATAAATAAAACAAGTTGCGTTAACTTGCTTGTCTCTCTACTTCAGGTTAGTAACTTCCAAGGAACTGAAAACGCACAGCAGCTATAATTCAGCAGTAAAAGAGCCCTTGAGGACCCTGTGAGCAGCTAAATAGATTCCAGTCCTGTCATTCCCCTGCTTAAAATCTGTCAGTAGCTTCTCATTGTTTCCAGAATAAACACCCAGCCCACTGCCTGGCATTCGAGTCTGCCTTCTCCCCAGCGATCAGAAGTGCTTCCGGTTCCCTCAGTGTCTTCCATGGAGCCTCTCGTCCTACCCCTGTGACCTCCTTGTCCCCTGAGCAGCCTCCTCCCTCCCACCCCTGCTCCTTTATAATCCAACTTAACCTTCAGGGCCCAAGCACAAGCCCTACTGTTTCTCTGTCCCTCATACTAGAGCCCACAAACTCACACGGATTTTATCTAAATAAATATTTTCCCATGCCAGCTAATGTTTAAAAAAAAAAAAACTACTTATAATGACTGCAAAATATTTATTAGATGTACCATAATTTATTTAACTATTCCCCAGTTAATGGCCATTTCATTTGTTTATTTTTCAGTGTAATAAAAACAATTCTGAGATGAGCAATTTTATATGCATCTGTCTATTTACATAAAAGGAATTATTAGAGTTGGAATTTTGAGGTCATTTTAACCAAAAAGGAACATATTTGACTCTCTTGATAAATATTTGAAAGTTTGTATCATTTTATACAAATAATTGTGGGGTTTTTTAGGTTTTTTTTTTTCCTTTTTTTTGAGACAGGGTCTTACTCTGTGGCCCTGCTTGGGACTACAGGAGTGCACCACCACGCCCAGCTAATTTTTCTGTTTTTGTAGACTCCTTCTTGCTCTGGCTGGTCTCAAACTCCTGACCGCAAGCAAAATCCTCCTGCCTTGGCCTCCCAGAGTGCTAATATTATAGAGGCGTGAGCCGCCGCGCCCAGCCTTGTTTCCTTATTGACACTGCAAACTTAGAGAACTTTTGGGCATTCTCTGATCTGTAATTGGATAAGTTTCCATTGCTCCCAACAGTGTAGGTACGTCACAATAATCTATATCCAGCCCTGACAACTCTTCAGCATCTTGTCCTTTTTCCAAGCTCCAAATTGCTTCAGTGGATCCTGTCAACACTCCTATTCTTTGTTTTGCCCATTAGGTGAAGTTACACTTGATTATACTGCACTGGTTTCTCTGTGATAGAATACCCTAAGTCATACCCCAAGCCACTCAACAGTCTGAGAAGTGACTGTTACAAACCTCACAGGAACAAATTCTGTTGCTTAATTATTATCTTTCTGTGTTTCCTGGGGACCTTACCTTGGCAAAATAAATGATGCTAAATTTTAATGGGGCAGGGTAGTGACTCACGCCTGTAATCCTAGCACTCTTGAGAGGCTGAGGCGGGCAGATAGTTCGAGGTCAGGAGTTCGAGACCAGCCTGAGCAAGATCGAGACCCCGTATCTACTATAAATAGAAAGAAATTAATTAGCCAACTAATATATATATACATATATACACACACATATATATATACACATATATATATATATAAATTAGCCGGGCATGGTGGTGCCCGCCTATAGTCCCAGCTACTCAGGAGGGTGAGGCAGGAGGATCGCTTGAGCCCAAGAGTTTGAGGTTGCTGTGAGCGAGGCTGACACCATGGCACTCACTCTAGCCTGGGCAACAAAGCGAGACTCTGTCTCAAAAATAAATAAATAAATAAATTAATTAATTAATTCTAATGAATCTTGAATGGTCACTGTGTAATAAATGCTAAGAAAAACAATGGTGATATAAAGAAAAAAGTAAAAATCCCTATCTCTGCCTTTGTACCAGCTCCACTTGTACATTTTTTAGCATCAGTTCCAGGGATTTGGGGTCTTCTGATTGAAAATGAGATCAGTTCCATAGCATCACTGCCTAATGGGTGCACAGAATTCCAAGCTGACCATCCCTTGGGGACTAAAGGCCTTAAAATCACATCTTGTGTTTGATAAGTGACATTTGGAATAGTCACACATCAAAATGTTACAGTTCTCTAGTGTGTACACTAGCACAGTGCCAGCTAGTGTACCAGATGAGCCAAATGGGGCACCTCTCGAGCACACAAGGAAAGGAAAAACACAAGGGGGTGGTGTCTATAAGCCCTCACGCCTTCCCTCAGTAAGCTCTGAGGAGCTACAGAGAACGGACCCATGAGAGAACAAGGCCTGCTCTGGAAGGGGGTCCAGCCAGGAGCTACTTTGGGGGACCTGGACCACTCAGAGGAAAACGGGGCATGGGGGTGCACAAAATACACAGGGAATCAGATGGAAAAACAGCAAAATCAGCCATAGGAAAGGCTCGTACCGCTCAGCCCCAACCTCCTCACACCTTTTCCTTGGGAAGCTTCTGTGTATAAAGGGCTAGACAGAAGACAAGAATGGGACTTAGGTTACCTACCTAACATACCCTGAAAGTGCACGTTGCAGTGCTGTGAATGGAATAGAAAAAAGAATGGACTTCTTAGGAAGTGAAAATACTTCCACTCTTGCTAACAGGTTTTTCCATTCACAAATCTGCGCTACTGATTAAAAGAAAATTTAAAAGAATATTAATATTCATAGATGTTAGGTGAGTTGGGCAAAATATACTAAAAATTGCCACTTAATTTCTAATAGTGAAAAACTGAATGCCACCTAAATGCTCGTGAATGATGATGGCCAGTTACATACGATGGAATACAGTGGAATTCCATGAAGTCATAAAGATATGGTTGTACATCTATATTTATTGTTATAGAAAGAAAGCCATGGGCCGGGCGCGGTGGCTCATGACTGTAATCCTAGCACTGTGGGAGGCTGAGGCGGGAGGATCACTCAAGGTCAGGGAGTTGAACCAGCTGAGCAAGGCGAGACCCCATCTCTACTACATAGAAGAATTAATTGGCCAACTATATATATAGCAAAAAATTAGCCGGCATGGTGGCGCATGCCTGTAGTCCCCAGCTACTCAGGAGGCTGAGCTGGAGGATGGCTTGAGCCCAGGAGATTGAGGTTGCTGTGGCTAGGCTGATGCCATGGCAGCTCACTCTAGCCTGGCAACAAAGCGAGACTCTGTCTCAAAACAAAAAAAAAAAAGAAAGAAAGAAAGAAAGCCATGGACTGGTGTTGAGAGAAAAGGCAGATTACAAAACTAAATGTATCATTTGATCACATTTATGGAAAACCATATCCATATGAATACATATGCACAAAGAAATGTTTTTAGGGATATTCGCAAATAGGTAGGCTGTTAACAATGCTTATCTCTGAAATGCATAAACTGTGTTGATTTTGTTTTCCTCTGTTTTTTTATTTCTTTTTAACTTTGAATCTATCTTTTCCAAAAAGCAATCATGCATTTCCTGCTTCCAAACATGAATAGCCCAGCTAAATCCTTTCACTTCAAATGCTTTTCCCACTGCTAATCTTTGTCTAAACCATTGTGGTTTGCTAAGACAAGGAAGGGTTGGAGACTAGAGTCCATGCCCGTGATAGACCAGAGCCCAGGCAGGAGGACATCTCTATAAGACCAAGAGACAAATGCAAGGCAGGAAAAGTACAGCCTGGAAATTTGGCATTCTGTACAGGGTCTGTTGACAGAGTCGTGGGGTTCTTAGGACTAAAAGGGCATCCAACTGGGTTGGTCAGTTTCGTTTGCCTGTGGGCAGCGTGAACTATGTACTCTTCCACTTTTATTTGACTTACTGTAAATTATTGGGTAAAAGTTATATAGCTATGTGTCCACTTGAAACTAAGATGCCTTCTGTCCAGTTGCTTGGGGCCTGTGGAGGACTGTGCCATCTCAATGACTCTCCTCCTTTCCCCTCCCCAAGGGCTGTACTCTGAGTAGCTGAAAGTGAGGGAACTGTATTTGCACAGTTCAACTGTGCCTTTAATTATTGAAATGGTCTTTTTTAGATAGGAGTTCTCGCTCTGTCGGCCGGGCTATGAGTGCCGTGGCGCGGCGGTCAGTAGGCTCACAGCAACCTCAACTCGCTGGCTTCAAGCAGATCCTCCGTGCCTCAAACCTCCGAGTTTAGCTAGCGGTGCAGTTGTGTGCACCATCCATGCCAGGCTAATTTTCTATTTTTAGTAGAGGACAGGGTCTTGGCTCTTGCTCAGGCTGGGTCTCCAATCGCACAGCTCGTCAAGCATCCTCCCACCTTGGCCTCCCAGAGTGCTTGGATTATAGGCGTAAGCCACTGCACCCAGCCTATTAAAACATCTTAAATGGTAACATCTCCAAAATGCAAAGTATGGTCTTCTCCATTGAAAAATATGTTCCAAAGGACAAAAAAAAAAAAACCTAACTCTATTTTGTGTGAAGAAGGCGATTAGTGAAAAAGAATATACCTTGGCTGGGGCATTTAGTGGCTTCAACTTGCGTGTAATCCTAGCACTCTGGGAGGCTGAAGGCGGGCAGGATCCTCCAAGGTGCAAGTAGTTCAAGGACCAGCCTGAGCAACGAACGAGACCGCCGTCTCTATCTAAAAATAGAAAGAAATTAATTGGAAAACTAAATATATGTATATATATACAGAAAAAATTAGCCGGGCATTATAACGTATGTCTATAGTCCCAGCTACTCAGGTGGTTGAGGCAAGGACAGGACGGTGCTTTGAGCCCAGGAAGTTTGAGGTTGCTGTGAGCGTAGGCTGACGCCATGGCACTCTTAGCCCAGGCACAGAGTGAGACTCTGTCCTCAAAAAAAAAAAAAAAAAAAAGAATATACCTCAAACCCAGGAAACAAGTTCAATTCCTTTAAGGAAACTCCACTGAGAAAGAGGCCCCTGGTACATAGCTCAGAGCCTTGCTCTCAGGGAGGCAAAAGGAGCATGTACAGTACCTGCTTAGTAAAACCAGGCCCGGCCTGTTACTGCCCACTCCGGAATCCAGGTCTCCCGCTCTCAGCTAATGCCTTCTTCTCTACATCATCCACTCAAGAAAATTACTGCAGCCAAGCTCTGTAAATTAAATAGCATGATTAAGCAACACCAATCTGAATACCTACCACATTTCTATGCAATTACTACACACATGAGCTTATTTGGATTGTAATGAAAGCCCTGTAAACAAAGTATATGAACAAATCCCTTAAATTCAATAAATCAACACAACAAAATTATACCAACAAATACTTAGGCATTTACTGGGGTCTCAAGGAGCTAAAGAGCCCATTGAAAAGAGGATTTGTACGCATGGAAGAGTTAAATTTACAAATAAGCAATACACCCAGTAATTTCTCTAACGGCTAAGAGAGGGAAGCATCACTTTAGGCTTTAGTGGTCTAGAGAGGCTTAGTGGAAAACTCATATTTATTCAGAACCAAAAATCCAAAAGACCAGTAAGGAATTTTTTTTTTTTAATTATAGAGTGCTATTTTTATGCCTAAAGTTTTTTTCCATAAAGCTGAGAGGTGGTCTGAAGAATAAAACATTAGGCTATGTTTAACAGTAGTCGTCGTAAAAAATGTTTTGTTACGATTCTAATTCTCTGAATAATGGTTATTTTTGCACACTTGTTTACAGCCAGCATTCTGAAAGCCACAGTAAGAATGTCTGCTACCACTTCAGTCCCACTCACGGAACCACTGGAAGAGTCTGAAATTTTAAGTGTCAACATGCAATAAAATTGTAAGGAATTAACTAGCTGTATAAATAATATAAATTGATCTACAAAAGTTTTATTTGGAGATATGATGGCGAGGACATTTTTGGCAATCCAAATTCAGCCAAAAATGACCGTAGTCATCTCAGGGAACCAGGACCAAAATTTGAACTATAAATTTAAACCTGATTATATCAGTACTGCCTCTTGTTTCCTTCCATTTTTAAAAATCAACTTTAATGAGGTTCAGTTTGCATAAAACAAAATATATCCATTTTACCCATACGTTTTGGTGAGTTTTGAGAAATTAATACACCCATGTAACCATCATCGGCACACTCTAAGTACAGAATATTTCGATCACCCCAAGATTCCCACAACCCTGGATACGTTTTCTGTCACTGTGGATCAGTTTGTCTTTTCTAGGGTTTCATAAAAATGTGACCTTATAGGCGGGCGCGGTGGTCCAGCGCCTGGAATCTAGCTGCGTTGGGAGGCCGAGGCGGGCGATTGCTCAAGGTCAGGAGTTCGAAACAGCCTGAGCAAGAGCGGACCCCGTCTCACATAAAGAGAAAGAAATTAATGGCCAACGTGATATATATATACAAAGAAAAAATTAGCGGGGCATGGGGGCATGCCTGTAGTCCCAAGCTACCGGGAGAGCGAGGCAGAAGGATCATCTGAGTCCCAGGGTTTGAGGTGCTGAGTGAGCTACGGCTGTACGCCACGCACTCCTCTTAGCTAGCAACAAAGCGAGATCTGTCTTCAAAAAAAAAAAAAAAAAAAAATGTGACCTTATAGTATGTCTGTGCTCTTGTCTAAGGCATCTTTTGCTCAGCATAATGTTTGGGTTTTTTTGAGACAGAGTCTCGCTTTGTTGCCCAGGCTAGAGTGAGTGCCATGGCATCAGCCTAGCTCACAGCAACCTCAAACTCCTGGGCTCAAGCAATCCTCCTGCCTCAGCCTCCCGAGTAGCTGGGACTACAGGCATGCGCCACCATGCCCGGCTAATTTTTTCTATATATATTAGTTGGCCAATTAATTTTTTTCTATTTATAGTAGAGAAGGGGTCTTGCTCTTGCTCAGGCTGGTTTCAAACTCCTGACCTCGAGCAGTCCACCCGCCTCGGCCTCCCAGAGTGCTAGGATTACAGGCGTGAGCCACCGCGCCTGGCCTAGCATAATGTTTTTGACACTCATCCATGAATCAGTAGTTCATTTGTGTTTATCACTGAGTAGTTTTCCAATGTGTGAATACACTACAATTTGTTTATATACCTCAAATGTTGATGGACATTTAGGTTTTGTCTATTATAAATGAAATTATTATGAATACCCATATACAAGGTTTTGTGTGGACATATGTTTTCTCTTGAGTCTATATGTAGGAGTAAGACTGCTGTGTTGTATTCTAAGTGTATGTTTAATTTTATAAGAAATAGCCTGACTGTTTTCCAAAGTTCTGGTACCGTCTGGGTGCGGTGGCTTACACCTGTAAGCCCAGCACTTTGGGAGGCCAAGGTTGGATGATCACTTGAGACCGGAGTTTGAGACCAGCCTGGAAAACATACCGAGACCCCATCTCTACAGAAAATAAATTTTTTAATTAGCTGGGCATGGGGGCACATGCCTGTAGTCCCAGCTACTCAGGAGGCTGAGGAAGGATCACTGGAGCCCAGGAAATGCAGGTTGTAGCGATCTCACTACTGCACTCTAGCCTGAGCGACAGAGCAAGACCCTGTCCCAAAAAAAAGAAAAAAAATGGCGGGCGCAGTGGCTGATGCCTATAATTCTAGAACTCTGGAAGGCTGAGGCGGGAGGATCGCTCAAGAACCAGCCTGAGTAAGAACGAGACCCTGTCTCTACTAAAAATAGAAAGAAATTAATTGGCCAACTAAAAATATATATTCTCCTAGAATCTGACTTTTCTGCAGAGGAAAAAAAAGAATAAAAAGAATAAAAAAATATATAAATAAATAAATAAAAATATATGGGGGGAGGGGGTGGGTATATACATACATAATGAGTGAGATGTGCACCATCTGGGGTATGGTCTTGCTGGAGACTCAGACTTGTGGGGGGGGGGAAATGGGCTTTATTGAAACCTTAAAACTGGACCCCCATAATATGCCAAAGTAAAAAAAATAAAATTAGGCCGGGCGAGGTGGCTCACGCCTGTAATCCTAGCTCTCTGGGAGGCCGAGGCGGGCAGATTGCTCGAGGTCGGGAGTTCGAAACCAGCCTGAGCAAGAGCGAGGACCCCGTCTCTACTATAAATAGAAAGAAACTAATTAAGCCAACAATATATAAGAAAAAATTAGCCGGGCATTGGTGGCTGCAATGCGCTGTAGTCCCAGCTACTCAGGAGGCTTGAACAAAGGATCGCTTGAGCCTAGGAGTTTGAGGTTGCTGTGAGCTAGGCTGACGCCACGGCACTCACTCTAGCCTGGGCAACAAAGCGAGACTCTGTCTCAAAAAAAATAAAATAAATAAATAAAATTAAAATAAAAGAATAATAAAAGGAATATATATAGGTATATATAATTATATATATATTAGAAAATTAGCAGCATGGTGGCACATGCCTGTAGTCCCAGCTACTCGGGAGTACTGAGGCAAGAGGATCGCCTGAGCCAGGAGATTGAGGGTTGCTGTGAGCTAGGCTGACGCCACGGCACTCGCACTCTAGCCTGTGGCAACAAAGCGAGACTCTGTCTCAAAAAATAAAAAAAAATAAAATAAATAAAATTAAATTAAAAGAATAATAAAAGGGAATATATATAGTTATAATATATATATATATATATTATATAGAAAAAATTAGCCAAGCATGGTGCACATGGCTGTAGCCCAGCTACTCGGGAGACTGAGGCAAGAGGATCTCGCCTGAGCCCAGGAGATTGAGGTTGCTGTGAGCTAGGCTGACGCCACGGCACTCACTCTAGCCTGGGCAACAAAGCGAGACTCTGTCTCAAAAAAAAAATAAAATAAAATAAATAAAATTAAAATTAAAAGAATAATAAAAAAATATAGAGGTATATATATATATATATATATATATAGTTATTAGAAAAATTAGCCAAGCATGGTGGCACATGCCTGTAGTCCCAGCTACTCGGGAGACTGAGGCAAGAGGATCGCCTGAGCCCAGGAGATTGAGGTTGCTGTGAGCTAGGCTGACGCCACGGCACTCACTCTAGCCTGGGCAACAAAGCGAGACTCTCTGTCTCAAAAAAAAAATAAAATAAATAAATAAAAATTAAAATTAAAGAATAATAAAAGGGAATTATATTATATATATATATATACAATTAGCCAGGCATGGTGGCACATGCTGTAGTCCCAGCTACTCGGAGACTGAGGCAAGAGGATCACTTGAGCCCAGGAGTTTGAGGTTGCTGTGAGCCAGGCTGATGCCGTGGCACTCTAGCCAGGGTAACAGAGTGAGACTGTCTAAAAAAAAAAAGAAAAAAGAAACGTAACATTGAAAAATGAGTGGATTTGTTGCAACTTATAGCAACCACTTTTATGACTGAAGTGAAAGCCAGTCTAAATGGTCTCAGGCATATTTGTGACGTCTAATAAAGGGCCAGACTGGCACCGTTTTCCCAAAGGAGGTCACCTCTAAGGCTCCGATATCAGATCCCAATCAGGGGGTTTCTGTCCCCATTGTCAGGGTAAAGGGCATCACGCAAACATCTTTTCCAGTGACATCTGCCTAGAAATAGCCTCCTATCCCAGTCATCAATACTGACAGACAGGCATGAGCAGGGGCAGGGCTGGTTAGTGCTTGGATGGGAGACCGCCCGGGAGGACCGGGTGCTGTAGGCTTAAAAAAAAGAAAGAAAGAAAGAAAGAAAAACACTGAGAGACAGGCAGATATTATGACCATTCTTTATTTCTTACAGGGGCAAACATAAGGAGGATTAGAAAAAACGAAACCATGGCAACAAACCATAAACAGCGCCAACCTCGCCTCATCTTTATCTTATTTAACTGGGTAAACAGCAGCTCCGACACAATTATATGCCCCAAGATGCTGCTGCGACATTACTAGGTTACAGTGAACTCACTGTCAGCTGATGCCATTGGAATAAACAACACCTGTAGGTTTTTTTCCAAAACCAAACGGTTTGCACCGTGTGTGTGTGTGTGTGTATATATATATATATATATTTTTTTTTTGAGACACAGACTGGCTGTGTCACCCCAACTAGAGTGCAGCAGTGGCATCAGCCTAGCTCACAGCAACCTCAATCTCCTTGGCTCAAGCGATCCTCCTGCCCCAGCCCCTTGAGTACCTGGGACTATGGGTGTGCATCACCATGCCTGGCTAATTCTTCTATCTTTAGTAGAGTGAGGTTCTCACTCTTGCTCAGGCTGGTCTCAAACTCCTGACCTCAAACAATCCTCCTGCCTCGGCCTCCCAGAGTGCTAGGATTACAGGCCTGAGCCACCGCACCCGGCCCTGATATGTATTTCGTGTTCCTGTTTCCTCAGCCTGTCCTGAAACTGATTTGAAGTAACATTCTCTAGATTAGAAGGAACAGGGCTCCACATTCCAAAGGACAATACCGTGAATTTTTACAATGGACCTCTTAGCAGGGGGGAATTACAGCATTAACTGTAGGAAAACTTTCTCTTGAACAATCAACCAAAGCTTTATAAATATAAAATGACAATTTTCACTAAAAGATGCCTGTTTACTTTTATTTATTTTATTTTTTATTTTTTTAATTTTTTTTTTGAGACAGAGTCTCGCTTTGTTGCCTAGGCTAGAGTGAGTGCCGTGGCGTCAGCCTAGCTCACAGCAACCTCAAACTCCTGGGCTCAAGCGATCCTTCTGCCTCAGCCTCCCAAGTAGCTGGGACTACAGGCATGAGCCACCATGCCCGGCTAATTTTTTCTATATATATTAGTTGGCCAATTAGTTTCTTTCTATTTATAGTAGAGACGGGGTCTCGCTCTTGCTCAGGCTGGTTTCGAACTCCTGACCTCGAGCAATCTGCCCGCCTCAGCCTCCCAGAGAGCTAGGATTACAGGCGTGAGCCACCGCGCCCGGCCTTTTTTTATTTTATTATAATATTTCTTTTTTTTTTCCCCTGTTTAAGAAGTTTGAACCTGTTTACTTTTAGTATGCCCAGTTCCATAGGATAAATATATTCAGGCAGGAGGAAAACTGGCCATAACCTTTTCCTGACAACTCTGGCTACAGTCTTCTCCAAGCAATGTAAGGTTGCATATTTTTCCGGAGGAAACAAACAGGAATGCCTCACAGGTTGTTCCCTTAGGTTTTTTAGTTCGATACCACATGACACTTCTATATGAAACTCCAAAATATTATGTGTGATTGTAACACAACAACGGTAGTAAGAGTCAGTTACCCTTAAATCAAATCACACTTGAATTAATGTCTTTTCCATCTACCCACTTTATCGGTTCCTCTTCCTCTGACTCGAGCAACTACCTGTTTCCCTGAAAATAAGACCTACCCATAAAATAAGCCCTAGCAGGATTGCTAAGCATTTGCACAGTAGAAGCCCTGCACCGAAAATAAGCCCTAGTGACGGGCGTGGCTGCGCAGCGCGTCTGCACAACCCATGCATGTCGTCTCAGAGCGGGAAAGAAGACGAGCAGCCCTTCTCATCTGCCCCGTGAGAGCTCTAGTGCTCCACATGAGAGATTGGGGCTGATGGTTCTAAAGGAAATAGAGTCACAAGAAATTCAGGATGGAATTTGGGGTTTGGAGAGTTATGATGATGTTCCAGAAAAGACGACTTCACTCTATTTGAATCAATGTAGATTGTTGTACTGTACTTAAAAAAATAATAACACATCCCCTGAAAATAAGCCCTAGGGTGTCTTCTTGAGGAAAAATAAATATAAGACCCTGTCTTATTTTCGGGGAAACACGGTATCTCCCCTGCTTCTGGGCTCATTACTTCCACTAACAACCCAGCGGTTCTCAGCTGGGGACAATTTTGCTCACCACCCCCTACTCCCCCACTCCCCTCA